CTATTAACAATTTATTTATTTTATTTCTCATAAATCAAAATGCTTATTAACTTCGCATTATTCTTCGCAACCTTTTTCTCGTTTTTTTCACCTTCCTTCGGTTATTACGGCGGTTGGATCAACGCCCGCGCCACCTTCTATGGAGGCGGCGATGCATCTGGCACAATGGGTACGTACAATTAATAATAATAATAATAATAATAATAATAATAATAATAATAATAATAATAATATTTTGATTTTTCGTAACGAATTATTCGTTATATAAAATTATGAATAAAAATGTGTGTATATATATAGGAGGGGCTTGTGGGTATGGCAATTTGTACAGTCAGGGCTACGGTACAAACACGGCAGCCCTCAGCACAGCCCTGTTCAATAATGGGCTGAGCTGTGGGGCCTGTTTTCAATTAGTATGCGTAAACGACCGAAGATCGTGCATTCGTGGCTCGATTGTGGTGACCGCCACAAATTTTTGCCCACCGGGCGGATGGTGCGCACCACCCAACCACCACTTTGACCTGTCGCAGCCTGTTTTCCTGCGAATCGCCCAGTACAGAGCAGGCGTGGTGCCTGTTCTGTACCGGAGGTAATTTCTTTTAAAAAATAAATATTATTTTTGTTGTTGTGAATTTGGTGAATATTTTGAAGAATAATTCATTCTACTTGTATTCAATAATTTTATGAATAGAAGTGTACAACGTGTGAGTGTAGGTAGAAATTATCATGTACATGTTAAAAAAAAAAATCTTATTTGATTGGATATTGGGGGTAGTTAGGTAATTACACAATTTCCACAATGTGATTGGAAGGTTGAAAAGTTCTTCTACTCTTTATGCCGATAAAATCATGCTGCAGTAACATTAGTGCTGTTAAATTAAACGAGTCTGACTCGGCTCGACTCGAGTTCGAGGCCTCAACGAGTCAAGCTCGAGTTCATTTAAAGCTCGATTGGTTAACGAGTCGAACTCGACTCGGCTCGTTAAGGCTCAACAATAGAATCTTTATATATTGTTTTATAGTTCGGCTCGTTAAAACTCAAGATCAGCTCGTTAAGAGCTCGAGCACCTTAAGTTCGATCCCGAGCTCGACTCAGCTCGTTTATTAGAGGAGCATGCCATAAATTTTGATATAATAACAAGTGTAACGATTTTATTAATTACTTTTAAAATTTTTATTATTGTTGTCGTTGTAGTTGTTGTTGTGAATTTGATGAATATTTTGTTATTGGTGATATCCAATTTGCCGGATAATTCTACTTGTATATAATAATTTGTGACTAGAAGTGTACAACATGCATGTGAATGTATGTACAAATTATCACAGTATGATTGGAAGTTGAAAAGTTCTAGTCATTTTTGACTTAATAACACGTTTAAGGATCCTGTTAATTTAAAATCAGATTATTAAAGTCGATCACTATTAAATATACACACGTATTTTGTTGTTATCCTTCATATCAGACTATATCAGACTATTTCAAATAGCTTTATTGAGATTGATCAGATCAGGACAAAGGTTTTTTATTGTAATTACTTTTAGGTGTTAATTAATTAATTGTGATTACCTAGAACATAGGGGGAACAACAAAATTTACCCTAATCACAAAATCATGCATGCTCATCAATTGTGCAAATTGCAATTCAATTAGGCCAATTTCAATTTTTTATATTTTTTTTTTTAATTTTACAAAATAGGGTTCCTTGTCGGAGGAGAGGCGGGATCCGATTCACGATCAACGGCCACTCGTATTTCAATCTCGTGCTCGTGACCAACGTTGGTGGCGCGGGTGACGTTCGCTCGGTTTACATCAAGGGCTCGAGAACCGGCTGGTTGCCCATGTCAAGAAATTGGGGGCAAAATTGGCAGAGCAATTCGAATCTTAACGGGCAGAGCTTATCGTTTAAGGTCACCACTAGCGATGGGCGAAGCCTCGTTTCTTACAATGTGGCCCCACGCGGTTGGTCGTTCGGCCAGACGTACTCCGGTAGCCAATTTCGCTAAAAATAAAATAAAATAAAATTATAATCATTATTATAAATTGTAATAATTTATATAATCTAGTTTGATACTTTTGAAAGAAAGAGGGGCTTATTTTGAAGGAGCCTATTTGAGTATTTGTACTAAAAATGCGCACTAGCACGTAGTAGTGTGTGCATGCTAAACGGGTATTTCTTTTAANTTAAATTGTTAATTTCAGTATCTTTAAGTAAGAGATTAATTTGTAGAGTGAGGGAAGAAAAAAGGTTCTCTCTATTGAGTTTGTTTGTATGAAGATCAAAATATGTACGTTGTGGTTTGATACACTTATCTTTTAATAATAATATGCCCTTTTGTTTAGTGATTTTGCACTAATCATAAGTTTCACAATTAATTAATTAAATTAACTATCAAATCAACGAAATTATAGTTACACATTATTTATATCATTCGTTGTATATATCAAATTATTATGTTAAATTCATTATCTTTTATAACTACAAGACATTTATGCTCAGTTATTATTTTAAGATATGACCCAAGTTAAAAATGGCTTTGAAGGGAAGTTGGGCTAATAAAAGCATAAGGTGGAAGAACGAACACTGGATTTAAGTGACAATAAATGCTATTTGAGAAAAATGGGTGACATAATTTATGACAACATCTTCTCAACTTATTTGACTTGGGGCAGCCAATTTAAGGATTTATATACTCTAAAATTTAGTATTTTTTTTTTTCTATCTCAANAATAAAAAAAAAAAAATCAAATATTTTGATAATCAAAATATTATTGTAGATAAGAAATAAAAATAATATACAAAGGAAATCACAAGAAGTTCATTTTATGCATAAAAAATATTGGTATTGCTATGTCTATTTTGATTTACAGTAAATAACGTAGATAATGAAAATAAGGAGGATCACAAACTCAACGAATTATGATTACAACAGTAAGATTTTTAATATATTAATTATTATTAAAATTATATCAACGTTGAAAAAACTGTAGTTTGTTGAATTTAAATTCTGATCACCAATGATATATATGTGTATATTAAGCAATAATCAATTATTATTATTTGAAGGTAAAGAGCCAGACTTCATATTGTCGGTGGTTCTTGTAATATCCATGGCCACTCTTTATTCCACCTCATGAAATCAGTGGAGTTATTTTTAATAAAAATATATATATACCATGAAATATGGACATATTATAAGAAAATCACAAAATAATTATTTAACATTTTTTAAAATATATCTATATTTCACAAGAAATTTATGTCAGTATGGCAATATACACATGACGTTATTTCACGCATCATATTTTTATATCATTTATTTATCAATCATTGTGTCAAACTTATATTTTTTTTTTCCATTTAAATATGGGCTGGATGCATCACATACGATGAATTAATTTGGCAAATTTCAAAATTGGTCCTATAACTTGGCCACAGTCCAAAAAACCACCCCTATATTGATCACTTTCAATTTTGGTCCTATAATTTGTCGATTTCATCATTTCTGGTCCTTTTTTATCCCAACCCCAGATTAAAATATGACGTGGCGTCATGTGGCATTTTTTTGTCTGACGTAGTGGCTTTATTTGTATTTAATAATTTATTTATGCCATGTAAAAATTATTATACTNGAATATTAAAATCTAAAAAACAGAATATTAAAACCAAAAACAAAATATTAAAAAAAAAAAAAAAAGTAGATCAAAAAATTGGTTTCCCCCATCCCAACGTCAACACCAACATCCCTGTCCAACACCAGCTTCAGCCCGCAGCCGGACTTCCAACATACAGACCTTAGCCAAGAAGTTCACGGCGTCCAACACCACCTTCTGCCCGCCGCCGGAATTCCATTGTAAACCATAGCCCAGCAGTTGCAGCCGGCGAATCTGGGCAAAGCCATCCGTCGGCTGCACATCCCTTGTACGAGAGCCCGTCTACCAGCCGCTCGTTTTGCGTCCAGCAACAACGCCTCCACCGCCGCGGTCAAGGTCGCCATTTTCAAGAGCTAGTTGTGTTCTCCTTGATACCCGCCGGAAAAACGGCCGTAAAAGTCGTCGGATCCGGAGATGCTGGACATCGTTGGGTGCACGACGGTCTGAGGAATCCAGAAGTGTCCTCGGATTTCGATGGGTCGCGGTACGTCGTCGGAAAATTGATGAAGAAAATCAAATTTTGACCGGATTTTCTAGATCTAAATACTTTGACCAGAGCAATTAACAGCTTTACTAGTAGAATTTTTTGCCGGAAATGTTAGGAGGTGAACAAGAACAAGAAGAGCTTCAAGATGATAAAAAAAAAAAAAATTAATCGAATGTGGTCGGCCGGCGGCAATATATACCATGAAATATGGACATATTATAAGAAAATCACAAAATAATTATTTAACATTTTTGAAAATATATCTATATTTCACAAGAAATTTATGTCAATATGGCAATATACACATGACGTTATTTCACGCATCATATTTTTATATCATTTATTTATCAATCATTGTGTCAAACTTATATTTCCTTTTTCCATTTAAACTAGTAGGAATCCCGTGCCATAATCAAATAATATACAACACACAATCATTTTTCAGACACATTAACCATATATAGTTCATAAACACACGGGTTTGACAACACAATGCCACTCCTTAATTTCTTAACATAATATCATAAATTGAATAATATATTTCTAAAATTAGTAAAAGAATTTTTTTTGGCGGGAAATAGTTACTATTTTAAAAATAATCAAACTTTTTATATATATATTTAGATATGGGCTGGATGCATCACATACGATGAATTAATTTTTTGTTACTGTTGCCAACGATATAAAAATTAAAATAAAACTGAAAAGGCTATGAAAAATTTGGTGAATTGCAATGTATGTATTATTTTGACACGATTGCCCCAAATTACTAATGAAAAAAAATAAACAAGTCGTACAATGACAACATTGTCAAAGTGGGCCAATAAATAGAGCCATTTCATCTACCACAATTTTTTAGTATGAGCCCAGTTCTCACATCTCACTCTACTATTAACTTTCGGCCCCTGTCACGGCCTTAATTCACGGAATACAGTTGCTAATTAATTTATTGCACAATTTGAGTTGAAAATTTAAAATATATGTACATATAATGTTAGGTTATGACTTTTTGTTAGAACTCATCTGCTTTTATGCAGTCAATGGTGAAATTTGTGACAATATTGTATTATTTGTGCCGTGTGTAGAGCTGTAAACGAACTGAACGTTCGCGAACAAAAGCTCGTTCGTGTTCGACAAAAGCTCGTTCGTTTGTTAATCGAGCCGAGTTCGAACAGAAAATTAGGTTCATTTAATAATCAAACGAACACGAGCTCATTCGTGAAAGTTCGATTATGTTCGCGAACATTAATTTAATATTATTTTATTTTATTTTTTATATATTTACATAATATTTTTAATAAAAAATCTAAAATTTAACATAATTTTATTTATTTTTATATATTTACATAATATTTTTAATAAAAAATATAAAATATAACAATATTTTTATTTTATTCTTTTATTTCGAGTTCGAACGAACAAATTTTGAGTTAATCAAACATATTTAAAAAGTTTATGTATTAAATTATTCGAACGCGAACGAACTCGAACTTTGACTAACAATTAAACGAATGAACTCAAACACGATTTTTTGCTCGAAAAATAAACGAACGAACACGAACACTGTTCGAACGTAAACGAACACGAGCTCGAACAACCCAAGCTCGATTCGATTTGGTTCGTTTACAACACTGTGTTCGCGTAATTAGACATATGGTCAAAATCAGTTTCGGGTCCAATTTCGAGCCAAGGGTGGCCGGCTCGGAATCGGTAGTTTCGGGCTGGTTCGGTGGACAGACAGTTTCGGGCGAGCCCAATTCACTAAAAAATAAGTAAAAAATAATAAAAAAAAGGACTCAAAACCGGCCGGACGGTTCAAAACGAATATATGTGTGTGTGTATATACATATATATATAGAAAAATGATACATAGCCAACATAGTGTACAACTAGGTAGACAACACAAGTGGAAAACATCCACCTGTTTATTTTTTATTTTTATTTTTATGGATGTGTGTGTGGCCTAGAACCAACCCGGTCAAACCACGGGTTCAGTTCAAGTCCCGTTGACCATGACTCAGTTCGGATCCACCGGTTTGGCCCGTGGTTATGTAAATTGATTTAAATTTTGTCTTCATCACATTCTTACAAAATATTTTAAAGTTTATAGTAATACAAGATCATGGTGAACATAATAAGGCTAGCTTCGATCTTTTCGGAGTCTTAATAATAATAATAATAATAATAATATTAATAATAATAATCCAGTTAAGAATTTTTGAAAGTAAGGGTAAGATTATTTATAACAAAATTTAACTTAGACCATATTTTTTTTTTATTTTCGATGGTAGAGAAAATTTAAAGCGGTTCTTCAAACTTCATTAATTTAATTTGGGCTTTCTCATTAGGCGAGAGTTGCAAGACCGTGAGTCAGGCCCACTCAAATCTTCTTTATGCTGCCTGCTATCTTTTGTAAAAATTTAAGTTCAGCCCATAACTTACTGTATTTTGACCCATGTTGAAAATTGTAACTTGGACCACGTTATATACAAAAATTAAACAAAAATATCTGCATAGGCCATAAAAGTTGTACACATAGAGATAGCATTAACAACAGTATATCTAAGTAATAATAGATGTTGCAAGAATTATTATGCATTATTTCATCTAACGGCTTGATATGACAATTTAAAACCCAAACTATATTTTAGCCTTATATAAATCTTAACAAGCTAATAAAAAAGAGAATTTAAATAGTATTAGTGAGATGATAGATAAAAATGAATGAAACGAATAGCATTTTTATAATATATACTTATACATATATATAACAAATAAATATCTAAGTCAAAACTTGAAATAGAAAAAATAAAAAATGCACAAAAAAAAAATTCATTTAATTATGCAAGCAAAAAGCACTTGATTCATATTAGTGGAAGTAAAGTAGAATAGATACATTCACTTATTTGCTCTTTCACACTAGCGAAAGGCATAACCAACAGTTGTACATTAAAAACAAATATTACATCAAAACATGAAATAAAAAAAAAGGCACAAAAACAAATTCATTTAAAGGCTCAAAACGAAAGGTATAAAATGGATTGTTAATATATATGCATATCACTACAAGAAAAATGCTTAGTAGGAACGACAGAATTGGCACAACAACAAAGTCGGCTATTAAGAAGTTATATAGCAACGATATATAGCAATAGTGCCTATAAATCAATAACACTGTTGGCACGACATTATCATGCCTATAGGTATGCATTTTTTGGAATGACCATATGTTATGCTAATAGGTGATCATGTTAGTGCCAATTCATGATTTCGCCTCCGACTGCCGAGGAGCCTCCGACGGCCGACGCACCTCCGACTGCCGAGGAGCCTCCGACGGCCGATGCACTTCCAAAGGATCCGCCGAAGTTGTGAGTAAGAAGCACAAATCGTGGCTGATTATCTTGTTCTGTAATTTGACCAACTGTTAGGCTTTAATTTCTTCAGAAAACCTAGTTCCACGAGATGGTTCTGTTTTTTCTCCATTTTGTCATTTTCGTCACGTTTGGTCATTTTGTCTGGGGAAGATTTGATGATGCGGTTGAAAGTTGAATCATGTATTAAATCTTGATACTGATTATAAAAATTAAATCTTGAATTTTCTGTTTTCTCTCTGTGCTCACGTCCTAAATTGCACACATTTATCTTCTCCTCCTAAATTTTTTTCTGTTTTCTCTCTGTTTTTTCCCCATTTTGTCATTTTCGTCACGCTTTTTGGTCATTTTGTCTGGGGAAGATTTGATGATGCGGTTGAAAGTTGAATCATGTATTAAATCTTGATACTGATTATAAAAATTAAATTTTGAATTTTCTGTTTTCTCTCTGTGCTCACGTCCTAAATTGCACACATTTATCTTCTCCTCCTAATTGTCATTTTTGCTTTGAAAGGCAAATTTTTGTTGGACGATATTCAGGGTTACAGTCAATGGTTGTGTGATATTTTCAACGTCTAATGTACTTAAACTTCTCAATATTCAGGGTAACCTGTTTGTAATGACGAATATCATCCATCTGATACACTATGTACTTATTTATTCTTCTTGAGTTTTTTAATAGAGCCTTTTTCCTACACGCCCTAATCGTAATCAAACGATCTTTTCATGCATTTTGTAGCTCGAATTGTGCTTTTGTTCAAGTGGAGTGCATTTTGAAATGTTTAGGTCTTTCTTCTGCTTAAACTTCTTTTAGGTCTTTCACTCTGAAATGTTTTGTTTACAGTTGCAATGGTATGCCTACTGTGGATACTCGTGTTTTGTATTTATGGCAATATATGATAATTAAGAAAGATGCTTGGGTGAGCCAAATGCTTTATGTTTCATGCTGCTGCTAGTGCCAATTTGACTTTTCATATACAAAATGTAACCAAAAGGAAAAGATAAAATACGCCTATTTGCCTTTTTGAAGCCATTTCATCTGACTGTAATATGTTGTAACTTAGTCAAGACGTGAAAATCCTATCTTTACTGGGATCCCAAAATATAGGTTTCATTGTTAAATTTTTTGTAGCTCGAATTGTTCATTGTTAATCTTTCTTGAGCCATCTTGTGATTGTGAATCATGTGCTGGCTGCTTGTTTTCTCCTGTATTATGTGCATGGTTTGACTTTTATGGTGTCTGTATTCTTGGGCTTGAGGATGAGTACCATTATTTGCAGAGCCTTCTCTGAATCTCTTAAGAATCAATAGTTGATAAAATATTGTTTGTTGAAACTGGCGATTATGTGTACAATAATCAAATGCTTGCTTTGATTGTCACTATACTAGTGTGCGATGTGCCTAGTGGGTTCGGCTGGTTCCAGATTGAGAACCAAAATTTTACGAGACAATTATTGAATTTATCAATATAAAGGCGAGAACCAGTGCACTCGTGAGAACATCTTTGACCATTCAAGGGATCTCATATTTGCCAACTTTGAGTATCCAAGGTTGTTGTCAAATTTTCTGTTCATCTGGATGTAGGAGGATACTTGTAGCCTGGTAAAGATATTACTGAAATACAATCATCTTCCTAATTGTGACTCGCAGGCTAATGCAGAGTATGAGGGTTATGGGAGATGAAAAATATACTATTGGTACAAATAACGCACATATCATCTAAATGATGACCCATGAACACTCTTTTCCTACATATTGGTCTATTTTTTTCTTTCCAATTATGATACCAGATCGATCCATCCACAAGTTGTTTGCCACACAAGCTGATTTGTTCAGAACCGTTTATACTCATGCAAAAGGTACTTTATCCAAAAATTTTGTTTGTGTTTCTTGTCATAGCTGCTTTCTTCATTTCATTTAACCTTAATGATCCTATGGACAATACTTCGCATACGCAAATGAGATTTATGCCAGGTTACCTGATGATTATTATTTTACTCTTCCTTCTTAATTATTTTTCAACTTTAGTTACCTGATAGTGAGGATAAGTTCCCGATAACTAACGATAGCGTGAGTCACCTGCTTCCAACATCTTACAAGACATGATGATTGTGGTGCGAGTGTACTCCAAAAGGCTGCTCAACTCAACTATTAAAATCATTTAATTTCCGAGTATTATATTATAGTACATTGTAACTTTTAATACTTTTTCTGGTTGGGCTGATTTTCCGATGCTTTCGAGAATTTTCAGTTGAAGGCCTATGGGATCAAAGTGCAAGTACATGGCACGCCGGAGCCGGAGAAGAAAAAACGACGCGGAAAATAACTGATCATCATATATTGGTATGTTGTTGTTGTTGTTGATTGATTTTACACATCAACTAATCCAGTAATATATATTGCAATTGCATTTTCTGCTGGATGTTATGTATATAACGGACTCTATATAGGTGCATATATATGATATGTCATACGTATATTTAACTTGGCGTCCATTTGTATTACAAGCTTGCTCCCGTGACGGTTTTTATAGGCTTTCAAGTGAAATATAGTTGGCTTTGGTGTGTTTACATTAAGGTGAGTTTTGATTGGTTTAGAGTATTCAATATTCTATATAGTGTCTTTTCTTCTATTTTCTTCGAACATTAGTTTAAATTTGGAGGGATTGGTTTTAAATATTGAGGACTCGTTAGACTAATCAAAATATAGTCTCATATCGTTTTGCTTGATTATCAAAATTAATATTTACGCATAAACAAGGGCATGCTTTTAGTTTTTACGCTACGCTCAAATGCATTTATTGGATCATGATATGAAACATTTTAGCATTGGTTTTATGAATAATAATCCTGAAAACTATAATTCTTGAGGGAGGCTAGTTCAAATAATTTATCTTTTATCGGCAATTCTTCTGTTAAGGTTGCCTCTGCCTAACAGTAGCATTTGAAATTGACACCATACACTTATTTGCTGAAATTGTAAATACACCAAAGATTCTTTGAGTGAGTGATTGAGAATGGTATTCTATAGTTTTGATAAAGAATTTTGATTGTCTACATATTTACATCCTTAAAACTTATTTTGTACTTATTTTGTATGTTTGTAATATTTTTTATTGTCCAATTTTTCTTAAAACTATTCTAGAAATCTTCTTTCACAAGTTCTAGCTACCTCCTGTGAAGCTTGTTGTGGTTAAGGATGTTGGGAATGAGAATGAGGGCATTGTTGATGTTGGCCCCACACAGGATGTAGCGGCAACTGATAAGACTCCATAGCCGACAATTAGAGACAGAGTCACGAATGGTGCTGAGGTTGGCCCGAATGGAAAAGGTGGTAATCAATTTTGCCTAATTCGAAATTCTCGATTTTATGGTAATCAATTTTCTTAAGTAAAAAAATGAGGAAGAATTTTGGCTTTTGCAAAATTGTAAGCATCAGTCGAAAATTACCTTAATTAAATTCACAAAACTCATGAATATGGTGCATATATAGCTTATTGATTTTTTTAGAAATAATTTTAAAAAAACTGCAAAAAATATAATACAATAAATGTTGGTTAACTTTTTTTGTTACTATTTTTTGTAAATAAGTTGTGTCTTTATATCGACCTAATGAAATTAGACTACTTAGATTGTAACTTTGAGTTTGCCTCGTATAGCTATGACGCCAAAACAGTGCCTACATATATTATCTATTAAATTATAATATATCATTTTATGTAAATTGATTTGAATTTTGTCTTCATCACATTCTTATCAAATATTTTAGAGTTTATAGTGATACAAGATTATAATGCAATTTATAAGGCTGACTTATAATAATAATAATAATAATAATAATAATAATAATAATAATAATAATAATAATAATAAATCCAAACAAGAATGTTTGGAAGTAAAGTATGAGATTATTTATAACAAATTTTAACTTAGACCATAATTTCTATAAATTACTCAATCGTAGAAACAATTTGAGAGGGTTCTTCAAATTTCATTAATATTATTTGGGCTTTCTCATTGGGCGGAGTTTTAAGACTGAATCAGGCCCACTAAAATTTACTTTATGCGGCCTGCTATCTTGCGTATAAATTTAAGTTAACAGTCCAAAATGTAATGTGTATTGACCCACGTTCAATATTGTAGCTTGGATTACGATATATACCAAAATTTAATAAAAATACCTACATAGGCCATAAAAGTTGTACAAATAAATAATATTAACAACAATCTATCCAAAAATTCAACAAAAATAGCTATATGCCATAAAAGTTGTACAAAGAGTATCTAAGTAATAATAGATGTTGCAAGAATTATTATGCATTATTTTATATAACGGCTTGATATGACATTTTAAAACACAAACTATATTTTAGCCTTATACAATATTCTTAAAAAGCTAATAAAAAAATGCTCTCACTTATTATACGAATCGAACAGTTGCGCATCATTCTTAACCCGAGTGTCGTGATGGACTTGCGATGTTAGAACATCGAGCTCGGTTAACCTTGGAATAACTCGCCAGCTCAAAAGAGTCTTCAAATTGAGCTCAAACTGCATTTCAAGCTGTGTGTTTGCTTTTAATTACCCTTTTAAACAATCTTAACCTGAGTTGTGTGTGTCGTGCTGGACACGTGATTAGGTTAGAAAACTCGACCTCGATTAACTTTTGAACTACTCNAAATTAAGCTCGAACCGCATTTCAAATTGTGTGTTTGCTTTAAACTAATTATTTTTTCAATTATTGAGTTTTAACATATTTCAAAATACAATAGGGCATGCAGTGACCATTAATTGTTTAGGGGCATGCAGTGATGATATAAAATTGTTTAGGGGCATTAAATATACTACAATAATGTATCCAATGTATATAGGAACTCTTAAATGAGGCAAGTAACATATATAGGTCCAACATATTTTCCGCTTTTGAGGGAGTGATCAAAGCAAGTTAACCAAATCGTACAAAAGGGTAAGCTGCTAATAATGAGAATAGTCAATGTGGACTGACACAATATTATTTGATCAACAAATATTATTAAAAATAATTGTGACAGTGTGAATTATTTAAAAATCGGGTCAATTTTGTCAGTAAAAAAAAAAAAAGACCCTAACTCCAATTCTATATTTTTGTAGGGTTCGTGCAAGTAAAGCAATCTTGGTCTGAATCTGATCAGGTCCACCTTATTTCTCACCTGGATTTTGTTATTCTTAATTAAGGGAAATGTTGCAGTCTCGTTATGAAGCTATTCCGTCGGGATTTGTAACTGTTAGATCGTCATGTAACTGTCGTGGATAGTTGATCTAACGGTTAAAAAGCCCGACAGAATTGTTTCGTAAAAGGACCGTAGAATCTCCCCATTATTAATTAGGCCCTTGTTACAGTACTTAATTTGATCAAGTAAATTAAACAATTAGTGAATGGTGCAGTTAGATCAATTGAGTATATTGTTAGTTATTCAATTAACTATGAAGTAGTTTAAGGATTAACTATGAAGTCATGAAACTAATTAATGATAATGATCAATCTAATTATGAATTGAGTATATATATATATTTTTATCATCAATAAATGGAGATATCTCATCATAAATGTGTTTATTGTAAAATACGTATCAATAAAATAATTTTGAGTAATAATCTTAATATATGACCATATATAGTAAAATTTTGTTGTATTTTTTCTAATTTGATTTGATCCACCTTAAATCATCATCACAATACCTTAACATCTACCATTTGTTTAATCATCATCAACAAATGATGTTTTTTCCTTATAAATTAAATAGCACACGTGAATTATATATATCTTTCAGATGAAAATGAAGCCAAAATGTAACGTGAGCTGCACCTTTTTCCAGTGCTAACATAAATTGAATTAGAAAAAAGGCTAAAACTAAAAGGGTTTGTTCAATTTTATAAAAGCAAGTATTTATGAAGAAGGTTGGATATAAGTCAAAATATGGGTCCTATATATGTCCATGCCCACTGGTCTATTATATAGCCCTGATAACTGCTGTACTAAAGCCCAGGCCCTCCCCACTGGCAGATGGCATTAAGTAAAATCGTGTGGGTTTTTATTTTGCAAAAAAAAAAATAAATAAATAAAAAAAAATTACGAATTGTATTTCTATACTTTTGTTTGTTTTGTATTGAAAAAGTATGATTGTCTACGTTAAATCTGTTTAACGTTAGTCTTGCTGTTACTTAAATTCATAGCTCGTCTATTACGTTGCTTGGTGTTTAATCAGTCATACTATCTCTATATTATAGCATATAATTTCATACTCAAATGCTATAAACTTTTAGATACAACATAAATAAGAGTGGAAAAATTGCAGTTTTAGTTCACTAACACAGACTATTTTCCACACATTTTTGTCCCATAACTTATTTTGGTCCGTAAGTGATCCAATAATTCTTTAATTTCAACCAATTCGTTCCAAATTAGCCTCGTAACTCTAAAATTTAAGAATTATTGGATCAATTTTGAATCGTAATAAGTTTTTACGGCCAAAATGAAAAATATCATAATTTGGTCGATCAAAACTGCAATTTTCCCAATAAAAGTAAGCCATTTCATTAGACAATCTAATAACAATATTTTGTGCAATTTTGATGAAACTATAGTACTATACTAGTATAAGTAAAATAAATAAATAAAAAAAGTACTTTTATCCAAACAACCTACGTACTTTTCCTATAGAAAATAAAAATAAAATAAAATAAAAGTTGTCTTTATTTATCTCCCATTTTTAACCTTTTCTTCTTTATTTCCTACCACAACACCTAATTTTTCTCGTTCTCAGCGAAAAAAAAAAAAGGTTATATTTCCATGCACACCAGCAAAAGCAGCTGTCAGCTGGTGAACGACAAATTGTTTGTTCCCATGTATCCAATTAGATTTTCCGATGTTAACGGTCTTAAAAGACCCGTGCCCGTTTTCGGGTCCGAACCCGATAACATCAAAACTGTAACTACAATGAGCTTCTGCGTAATGGCCGGCTGCATTAGACTCGACGGCCCAAATAACACCGGCCCAGAAAAAATGGGCTCGAGAAAATTAGGCAAAAACCCTAGCCGGAGTTTTGGAAAACCGGAAAGTGGACCGGCGAAAGCTTGTGCACGTGGCCACTGGAAACCCTCGGAGGATGCTAAGCTCCGGGAGCTCGTGGCTTTGTACGGCCCGCAAAATTGGAAAACCATAGCCGAAAATCTCGAAGGAAGATCAGGTACGTTTTTTTTTTTATTATTATTATTTTTTTTCTCTTTAAAAAAAAAAATTCAATTTCTAAAATAGGCTAACAAATCTTTGATGAATTTGAAGGGAAAAGTTGCAGGCTGAGGTGGCACAACCAGTTGGACCCGAAGATAAACAAACGGGCCTTCACCGAAGAAGAAGAGGAGAGACTAATGGAGGCCCATCGGGCCTATGGCAACAAATGGGCTTTGATCTGTAGGTTATTTCCGGGCCGAACAGATAATGCCGTGAAGAATCACTGGCATGTCCTCATGGCCAGAAAATACAGAGAGAAATCAAAACCCTACTTCAAAAAGAAGAGTTGGATAAATTCTTGCGATGATGATGATGATGATGATGATGATGATGATCTTGAGAGGAGCTCATTAATGGAGGAAAGACGTGCATTGGTAATAAAAAATAAAAATCCCCTCAACAATATTGTTTCACAGCTCCAAAATCAATGTGGTAAGTTTTGTTTATTTATAATTGAATAATTGTTAAATCATTTCTCATTCGAAAAATGAGATGAAAAAATTAAGGTTTGATGAGAAGTTGTTTAATTACTGAGATTGAAGTCGAACAAATTGTAAGAAACATAGGATTTTGTGTGGGTTTTGGCTTGAAAACGGAAAACCTAATAAAAATGGATTTGTTTTTCTTGAATAATTTTTTTCCTTTATTGAAAATATGGAGAAAATTTAAATAAATTTGGATTATTGAAAATATGGGGAAAATGGATTTTGTGTGATTTGGGTATTGGACAGGATTATAAATAACATAGTATTTATTCATATGATGTAAACAATAGAAGCCAAAAATTTATATTAAATCGGTTGAATGTAGCACATATAGTAGTTTTAAAGTATGAAATTTAGTTTATGGTTACTTCACATTTTAATAGTAACTTCAGTGTTTTACGCTCTTTTAGTTACTAGGGGTTTTTATGCTTTATTTCCTCTTATTTTCTTATTAATTTAGATCTCAATTTTGTGGGTTTTATTTTTAATTTTGTAGTTACTCCCTCTATTTCATTTTAAATAGTCATTTTATGTTTCTCCAGCTTATTAAGAAAGCATGTTTCATATTTCAAGATTTTTATGAAATCTGTTAATATTTGTTATTTATTTCAATCTCAATTGAGAAATATATCATTTGACTCTTCAGTCAAATTAAAGACGGTCACACTTAAATACAAAACGAAATATTAAGTTGATTAATATTTAGCTTGTCTTAATTGATTTCCCAAAAGTAACATATAGAATTAGACATTTCCCCCTAAATCAAGTCTTCTATTTTTTTTTTATATATACCTTTAATCAGTAAACTCTAACTATATGTGAGAATCCATTAACTATTACCCCCAATTAAAAAAGTTGAAATCAATACCAATTTCTTTTTATTAATATATCACACTTTTTTTTTTTAATATATATATATATACCCCAATCTGCAGGCTATATGAGCATGAGGTCCTGGAAAATGAGCGGGAAAATTGAGTTGTGGCCTTCACAGTCAACCTATTCAGATGGTCAAAATAATCATCAACCTGTGTTGACTGATTTCATGCAATCCACTGCAAAATCGCCTGAATTTATAGACTTTCTTGGAGTTGGAAACAAATGAGGATAGTCTTGTTAATTTGCCAAAATTAGGTGAACTCTATATAAATAAGCTGAAACAAGCATGTTAATTTGTGCGCACTTTCTTTAAAATTTCCCTATTTTAAGTTAATTTCATCATCTTTCAATGCCTTTGTTTATGTTCAGGTGATATGTTGAAGTAATTAATTGAAATAGAAAATGAAGGGAAAATTTATAATGGATTTCAATTACCCGTTAACAAAGTCTTCAAAAGCTACAAGAAATTTTTAGAAGTAGTTGATCTGTAACAATAAAAATAAATAAATAAAAAAAATAGCCACATTGAAAACTAATTAACCAATAGCATGCCAATAGTTCCAATATTGATCAATTTGAGTATAATTTCAGCCGAAAATCTGAAATCGCGCGGGCCATAAATTTTAAAGTTGACCAAAATTTTGGCTGAAAATCTAATTGGTGTCAATTTCCAATTGGAATTATGTCTAGCCGAAAGTTTCAACTAGAATTTTACATTGATCAAAGATTGACTGACAGGTCAAGTATATGTCCTCTGTTAATTTCTCGAAATTAGATTTAGTTAAAATTGTCCCTGGATTGGTTAGCTCTAAAATTTTAGATCCAAAAATTATTTATTTATTTTTTTGCCAAAATTGTTCTGTAAATATAACGACTTTGAAAATATGTCATGATGAGATGATAATAATACATCAAGAATTTGTCACAGGTTACATAACTTAATTAATGAGGAAGGAGATTATTTTATATCGGGTAAAATTAGTATATTTCTTGATATTCAATGCAACATATGTCACGCGCATTATAACTTTATCAGCCAATAATTAATTGCTACAATTTAAAGTAGCACTTTTGTTCGTGGTTAAAGCTTGAAAATTAAAATTTGTAGAACAAAAAAAAAAAATAATAATAATAATTGGAGACTACACAAAGAGAGATCAAACCTCAAACAAGCTTCTCTTGCGAAAAAAAGATGATCGATCTAAAAAAAAAAGTAAATCATTTTTAATTAATCTAATTAGTAAAAACTATTTCCCATGAATTTCACAAATTCATCAAAATCTATTTTCCCATCTCTATTTTCATCAAAAGCCCCAATCATCTTCCTACACCTCTCCACATCCAATCCCTCCCCAAACCCTAGAGCACACAAAATCTTCCCCAACTCCATGGCATCAATAAACCCATCTCCATTCTCATCAAACACATCGAAAGCTTCCTTTATTTCGCCTAAACCGACACTTTTCTCCTCGAACATTTTCAAAATATCGTTCGAATCAAGCCTTGCCGGAATATTCCCTTCTCGAAAAAGCCCTAAGCTTTTCAAAACCACCTCCAAATCTCCTCGACTAACGGCGCCCTCCTTTTCTTGCTCGGAATTCGAACTTTTTCTTGTCGTGAGAGTAGAATCGTGGACGGGTGTGAGAAGTAGAGAATAGAAACCCAAGAAAAATCCGGAAACTTTCTTTCGGTCGAGTAAAACGAGGAGTTCGATCAATCCAACTATTAATACGGCCAGTTGGAGGGTGCCGAAGTTTATTGAGATGATATCGAGAATTTGGAGCTTGCTTAGGTTGATGAGAGACATGGCGATAAAACTACGTAATATAGTGTGTTCTTCTTCT